GTCTTACCTGCACTGATTGTCTTGCCTGCACCAATCGTCTTACCTGCACTGATTGTCTTGCCTGCGCTGATTGTCTTGCCTGCACCCATCGTCTTGCCTGCACTGATCGTCTTACCTGTGGTGATTGTCCTGGCTGTCTGTCTCTCCACCCCCCCCCCCCTCGCCACCCCCTTCACCTTGTCATCGCTCACACGGCGGACGCCAGGCATCTGCCAGCCCTGCCCGACGGCCGGCTGCCGGTCGTGCGGCGACGACGGCGTCTGTCGGGCCTGCGACACGGGCTTGCTGCTGCTGCGCGACACCGCCACCCACGGCCCCGGGGCCTGCGTGCCCAGCTGCCCGGCCGGCAGCCTGGGCCTCGGGGAGGAGTGCGTGCCGGATGCCCTGCCCGGGGCCAGGCTCCACCTGCACCCGCTGACCCTTGTGCAGGGGGCTCGGATCACCTCGGTCGGCATGACGAGGGCCTTCCTCAAGGATGGCCAGGTGTTCGTGTCGAATGCCTCGCTGAGGGCCAGCCGCCCGGGCTCGGTGGCGATCATCATCAACAATGAGCGGCTGGCCTTTCTGGACACCGAGCAGCTGGCCACCGCGCCCGGCCAGGCGCTGACCTTCCGCCAGCCCAGCAGGTTCCCCATGCTCCCCGAGGTGGAGCAAATCCTCGAAATGGGCCCCTTCATCACCCGGCTCAATGTGCGGCTGGAGTATCTCCTCACCGGGTCCATGATCTCGCGTTTGGAGTTGACTTGCACCCTGGCCGGGGTCGGCCCGGATGATGGCTGTCCGCTGGAGGCCATCTGGATCGCCCTGCCGGACGGGTTGTGGCCCGGCGTGGAGCCGGCCCAGCGGCTGTCCCCCTCGCTGGTGGCCTACGACCATGTGCTGGGGTCCTACGAGGCCGATGGCACCATGGTCCAAGTGGTGGAGCCCGCGACCATGATGTCACAGCGGCCGGTGGTGGCCATGCACCGGGACCCGGTCACCGGCCGGCCGGTCGAGTGGCTCTATCGCCCGGGGCCGGCCCCGCACCTGGCGGCCAATCCCCTGGCCCTGGTCAAGAGGCTGGACCCCCGGTGCCGGTATGCCGACAGCGTGCATGGCGCCGGCGTGGCGGCCGGCGGCGGCGGCGGCGGCGGCGGCGGCGGCGGCGCGGCCGGCCCGGTGGCGCCCGGGACATCCTGGAAGTCGGTGGCCCTGGAGACCGGGGCATCGGCCAGCGGGGCCCCCCGGTCGCAGGACATCGTCACCATGGGCTTCGACCAGATCCAGGACACGTATTACTGGCTGGCCAAGCACTATGCCGGGGGGGTGGACGCGCAGTCGCGCACCCGGGACATCGTCGGCACCGGCCGGGTGTTGCACCCCCTGGCCGGGGTCACCTCGCGGCCGGACTTCCTGCTGCTGGGGCTGGACCTCGAGGGGTCGCCGCGGCCCGAGTACCCGAGCGCCCTGGCGTTCGTCACTTCAAGCCATGTCGGGGTGGCGCTGCTGCACTGCCCGGCCCATGGGGCCGCGTGTGCCCTGGGCCCGAGCCACGTGCTGAGCCTCGGGTCGGAGGGGTCCTTCGCCTGGGCGTCGAGGCTGTCCATGGCCCAGGTCCCCGGGCCGGAGCGCCTGCCGGATGGCCGCCCGGCCCTCGGGGCCCTGCTGGTGGTGGTGCGTGACACGACCTCCGCATCGCGGAGCTTCCTGGTGCAGGTGGCCCCGGGCGAGTGCCCGCCGGGGACCTACGGCCCGGAGTGCCGGCCCTGCCACCCGGCCTGCCAAGCCTGCAACGGGCCGGACTCGCTCCAGTGCTCCTCGCCCCGGTGTGACTTCTTCCTGGCCGGGCGGCCGGACGCCTGCCTGGCCGGCTGCCCGGCCGGCCTGCAGCCCGCCAGCACCGGGGCCTGCGTCTGCCACGCGGGCTGTGTGTCCTGCCATGGGCCGACGGCCGGCGGGCCGTTCGTGTGCGCCGGCTGCCAGCCGGGCATGGCCCTGGACCCCGGCACCCGGACCCGGTGCCTGCCCTGCCATGCCTCGTGTGCCGAGTGTGGGGCGCCGGACGATCCGGGCGCCTGCTGGTCCTGCCCCCCCGACGCCGGGACCCTCCTCCGGCCGGATGGGTCGTGCGGGCCCGGCTGCCCGGCCGGGGCCTGGCCCGACGTGGGGGCCCGCGTGTGCCGGCCCTGCCCGGCCGGCTGCGCCGAGTGCCTCGTCCCGGGGGCGTGCGATGCCTGCCGGCCGGGGTTCCTCCTGTCGGCCAGCCTCCGGCTGTGCCTCCCCTGCGAGCCGCAGTGTGCCACCTGTGCCGGGGGCCTGGACGCCTGTCTGGCCTGCGCGCCGGGCATGCACTGGGCGGATGGCGCGCCGCCCGGCGGCCCGGGCCCGGGCCCGACCGGCGCCTGCGACGTCTGTCCGCGGGTCTGCGCCACATGCGACGCCGAGGGCCGGTGCCTTTCCTGCCAGCCTGGGCGCCTGCTGGTCCCGGCCACCGGGGCCTGCCTCGCCGAGTGCCCGGTCGCCACGGCCCCGGACGCCTCTGGCCAGGTGTGCGGCCGCTGCCATGCATCCTGCTCGGCCTGCCTGGCCCCGGGGGACCCGGCGGCCTGCTCGGCCTGCCCGGCCCCGCATGTGCTCCATGTGTCGGGCGAGTGCCTGGACGCCTGTCCGGGGGGGTTCCGGCCGGAGGCCGGCCACTGCGTCCCCTGCAGCGCCGGGTGCGCGCTCTGCACGCTGGCCGGGGCCTGTGACCTGTGCGACCCGGGGCGCTACCATGCCGGCGGCGATGTGTGTGCCCCGTGCCCGAGCTCCTGCGCCGCGTGCGCCGATGGGGCCGCCTGCACCGCCTGCCGGCCGGGGCTGGTCTTCCTGGACCCGGAACCGGGCGTGCCGTCCCTCTGCGGCAGCACCTGCGCCCCGGGCGAGTATGTCGGGGCTGCCCGGTGCGCCGCGTGCGATGGGTCGTGTGAGCTGTGCGCCGGCGGGCCGAACCGGTGCCAGGTGTGTGCGGCGGGCTTCCGCTGGGGCACGGCCCCGGGCCCCGGCGGCACCGGCACATGCGTCGCCTGTGAGCCGGGGTGCGCCTCCTGCACGAGCACCGCATGTCTGTCCTGCGCTCCCGGGTTCCTGCTCACGGCGGCCGGCGCATGTGTCGGTGCCTGCCCGGCCGGGTCGTTCAGCAACGGCGAGTCGTGCCAGCCGTGCGACATTAGTTGCGCCGCCTGCGCCGGTGGCATGGGCAACCAGTGCACAGACTGTGCCGCCGGGCTGGAACTTGTCGAGGTCACCCCCGGTGTCGGCACCTGCGTGTCCGGCTGCCCGGAGGGCCAGTACCGCGCGGGCGTCGAGTGCCTGCCCTGCGACGCGGCCTGTGCCACGTGCAACGGCCCCACGGACAAGGACTGCTGGCGGTGTGCCTCCGGCGTCCTGCAGGGCGGCGACTGCGTGCAGGCCTGCGCCGCCAGGCA